CTTGATAATCATTCATCGCAGCTAATACCACTGTACTACGGTCTGATGTAAAGGCATCTGTGCGTATGTGCTTACAAGAATGTGTTGACTCTGGTCAATGCATATAGCATATACTTGCGTGCGGAAACGTTTATGCCTATAGGCACTTACAAAATGCGTAGAATTAGTCTGAAAGTTTTTTTATATATGGCGAATACTAGCAGCCTCACTTATCTATGCCTATGTGCATGTCACTGGCATACTGATATATGTGTACCGTAAATGCACGTAAAGCATACTTGGGAGAAGCTACCACTTCCCATGCTGAAAGTACTCATTAATACTTATCAACGATTTTATTTGTTTCAACAAGCTCCCGAACATAGTAATTAGCTCAACTATACTAGGGTAAGCTGGCGCTAATTCCATCTGCTCCACTTGCAGTATATCGTAGTGAACTCAGCTGCTGCACGCATATATATAAGTAAACAGTAGTAAAAACGTCTGTCTGTATCTATAAAATAGACTAAGAGTTATGCTTGTTTCAAATGGTATGGTTGTTTCGATGTCCCTATCCAAAATATCTCTTTTTTCTTATCTTTTCACGTATGTGCTATTGTACTCTGCATAAGGCTCTTCCTTTTCACCTCGAAATGCCAACTGGCTTCTCTCCTAATGAAGTAAGGTTAACTGAACTGAACACATAGGCTGAAGCTGTCTTCTGATATTCCAATGTAGGAACAAGTCGAGTCTTCTCTTGTTCCTCTTCTAGTCTTCAAATACTCTGATCAAGTCGTGCACTTTGATATTCTGACATTCTTCACTCTGCTGCATACTATTTATAAGCCATCTTCTAAGTGGCGTTCACCACACTGGCACTCAGTAAAATATTAAGTGTTGCAGAAAGTAAAAATATTTAGTGTCTATTTGTATGTCATAAGTCTAAACCACCTTTATTGCCTATTAATTCGATCGGTCACGTCGAATGTATTACTATATCAAAATAAATTATTGGGAATTATTGGTTTTAAAGTGGATACTAGATTTCGCAGATATATAAATCAACCAATATAGATCTAAATTCTAATATCTCATACTATCCCGTTGTTGATATTTTGACCGAAATTCGATAGGTCCTAGTTGGCAGATATAAGACCTTATGCGGACTGCCTCGATAGTGCTATTGTGTCATAAGTCCACATAGAACAGACAGGATGTAGCTAGCAGTGGCATCCAGGGCACGTTGTTACTTTCATCGATCTGATCAGCTTCGAGTACTTGGATCTGAGAGTTAATATCCACTCTAAACGAAGGGTAATGGTTTTGAATTTCGGAGTGAACATCAACTCAGAGAAGCAGCAGTATCTAATTGACGAGTCCCAAATGGAACGAAAAGTGTATCATGTGTTTGACTGCTCGTCACATTCTATCTATTCTAATTTACTATAAACACCTAGAGAAAATTGATGGATACAAAAGGAATGGATATTATTCAAGGTGGAAGAATAAGTCAAAACATCGAAGTAGGAGAATAAACAGATAAAATAAGTAACGTGTTTCAGTAACCTTTCTAAATATACAAATTTTAGAAAATAATGAAAATAACTCAAGCTACTGATTATTAATGAATAGTATATTATAATAGACAAAAAGCATTTAAAAAATAAAGCTTAATTTACAAATAATAAAGAATTTAATTCATTACTGAAAATTTCTGAGAGTTTTTAGGATTAAAGAATCAGTTAATAAAATATTTTATTTTCTAATGATTTAGCATAGTAGAAATGGGATACATGAATACCTCAGTGTTAATTTTGAACAGAAAATTCAATTTAATAGACTGATTTTTACTATTCAGAAAGATAATTTTTAAAAGTAAGACCAAATCTCTCTCTTGATGAAATTACTATTCATACTGTTAATTGAATACAAATGAATTGATTTGGTTGATTCAATGCTCATATTAGATTTGATTGGTACTATCAATCATCATTTGAAGAAATTTAGAATAATTACCTTATGTAAATTGAAGAGCTATAAGAAACCACGGAACACTGGGAATCTTTTCTCTACCTACTTAAAATTACTCTGTGCACAAATGATTCCGCATGTGAGTGATCTCAAGGCGTGTCTCTCTTCGAGCAATTTATCATTGACCCACTAAGTCAGAATCTAATAGTTTACACTTTTAACTTCAAATAAAACAACTTAATAATTCAACTTAAATCGCACAAATTATCACGATTCAGTAACTGCGTCATTAGCATGATAATAATGCACGGAAATTTTGCAGTGGATTTTATTGACTATGATATTTAAAAACTTGAAAAATCTCAAAGTCAATATCATGAAGACATAAATCTAAACAAATATATGTATAATTTTACAGACTCAACAAAACAGGGTTAAATATTCAACATATTTGTTCTCGATTGAATATTCAACTCAATCATTAAGCGGGAATAGATAAAACCTGGTTGAAGGACAAAGTGGTAGACGCATTTCGTTCAATTACTTGATAATCAGATTCAAGGAAACAATGAAAACGTATTAATATGCAAATCATTATCTATCTATCAATGCTCTCAATAGAATATTGCTCACAAGATTAGAACACAATAAGAAACTAGTAGAGTTAGAAGTTTACCGATAGTCCTACATTCCACACAAACATTTTCGAATCTCTACGATAAATTAATGGATAATTTTTGTACCAGTGATACTGATTGTAACTGTTAGGCCTGTCAACAGCTGATCTGTTTGACTTATAAATCTAAAATTCAAGTTCTGACATTTAATAATGTTTAGAAAAGTAATTTTCTTCGTTGCCTAATTTACTTAATCTTATCTTAAAAACTCCAGCTCTATGAAATTTATGATTGGATTGAATCTGTCGTTTGATTGTTGTACATATATGATGGATACATATCAATGCTTCTTAGCAATAATCAGAGTAGTTTGTGAAAAATACTTATTGTGGTTAATACTTGTAAAACACAAATCTCTATTCCTGGAATTTTTTTTAAGGTTACTAATGTTTTTATAAGACCATTAGGTAGATGATGATTAAATGTTCAGAAATCTTATTATAATTATGCATATTTGAATCTATTCACAATCATCATCAATGTAAAGTTGTTGTGGTTAGAAAACTAATGGATTCGGTTAGTACAAAAAAGAAACTGTGGTTTTTTTATCATTTCAAATATGGCTCGTTATGATTATTTTTTGTTTTAACCACTGAAAACAACGGAACGCGTAATGCTAATTCCAAGTTAATTGCATTATTTTCCAGTTTTCAGGCATCGTTTTAGGTTAAATCAAAGATGAAATTTTGCAACAGAGACGGCTTGAAATATCATAGCTTTTTTAGCTAAAAAAACTTCATTAACAAGCCTACAACTTAGCACTGGTTACGAGACCTTCATGATACAAACCCAAAATTTAATGAAAAATGAAAATTGCTTATTCCTCCTAGATAAAGAGAATAACGATTTAAGAAACATGGATAGATCAGAGGGAATGTAAAAAAAAACTCGAGAGTTGGTAGAAAAATATAGAACTAATAGTTTGTTATTTTTTCTTGATACATGACGGACAAGAACTAGACCTGAAAATCAGGTCTTAGAAAGTGAGTAACCTATATAGTAATTTCCTCTAATCGTTTATGACATTTTACTACATTTGTTGCGCTACTATTTCGAAAACATCTTTTTTTATTACATAAAAAACCAATTCTTCTATGGAGTCAATTGTTAGTGATCAGAGAAGAGGAGAATAAAAGCAATCACGTTTATGGTACTGAAGTCAGATTTAAAAATAATGGGCTTAGAAATTTTAAGTCAAATATTTTCATCTCTTAGATAGTGGTAAAATAGGGCGATTGCATAAAACCAGTTACTTTCATTTTTTAAGCATTTGCTTCGTTTTTAAATTCATAGATGGAGACACTTAGTTTAGTTGTTAATTTAACAAGCTCTATGAATGTCACTATTTATTTTGCAACTAAGTGACTTCCGTCGTTAACTATTTTTCTGGAGACTAAATGTACAATTCAGTCAGAATCGGTATTTCATAAGTATTTAGTTTGATGTGAAAAAATTTTTTTATCGATGTAACTTGATCTAGACATCAACAAAATTAGTTTTAAAGTCTTTATTATCGTATAGACAGAATTATATCTTATCCTAAAAACATGAGAATGAACATATCAATTCTAGGATTGAATTACTTCACAAAAGTCTCTCATAAGTCCATCTAATCGGTGACTTTTCATAACCAATGTTAACTTTATTGTTTGATTGATGATATCATCATTCAAGTAACTCTGCAGTATATAGCCATCTTAAAGTGATCACAATTGTAATCGTTTCCTTGAGGAGGCATGTTTAATCATAGTAGCTTGAATACAGCAGACTTTTTAAGCAAACAATAGTATGACATAAAGATACTGATTGAATCCGAGAGACAAGAATAGAAATGGAACTGAAAGTAATTATTTTCAGTGTCACTATGAAAGGTTTGGTTAAATGACTTATGATAGTAGAAGTGACTAAAAGAGTTTAGAACTGAAGTATTTGGCTACATTTAAGTAAGTCACTTTCGGCCTATATTTCGCTTACAGAATAAATCAACACAATACATTAAGTTTTTAAAAACATTGTAGTGAAGCTTGCTGAACAAAGGTATAAAATGGTAAAATTCTGACTTAAGTGCGTCCAATGAATGTTTCATGTTTATTTCAATGCTAGAAATTATCAAACAAAAATTTTAGAACAAATGAATCAAGAGAGATTCAAGATAAATATAGTTATTCTGAAATGTTAGTGATTTAAAGCATAATATTTATTTTTCTGTACTGTAGCATGATAAATATAAGTAAAATATTTTTTTAATCTTGACCAATATTATGAACGTTAAGAACCGTTCAGTCTCATAAAAAAACACTTCATTGATCTGAAAAATACTTTATGATAATCTGTGTATTGAGCATTGAATATTCATTTTAAAGGCCATTATAATCAAATCCCATCCATTTCAACATCAGTGAATGAACTATTCCTGTTCTCTACTGGTTCAACTTCTGGACTATTCAAAGTTGAATCATTATGATGAACGCCGGTGGAGTTTAACCACTCTTTAATTTGTTCTGCGGATGAAATTGACGAATGTGAAGACGATGGTAATGTTGATGTGATTTTATTCAGCTCATTCAAGTTGTTTCTTAGACGAGATTCCGATATTTGTAGAGATCTTTCTAATTCAGCGGTAGTCATTTCTTCTTTGTTACCACTGTTTACTTGAATCTCTATTGTTTCATCCTAAAATAAAATGAAAAGAGTAATATTCATCAGTTGTTTGGTTGTTATTTTATGAATTGCAATGATACTTACTAGTTGTGTGTGACAATTTCGTTAGTATGCAACTTACTTGTAGGTGATGTAACGTGGTAATAGTATGAAAATGAACATACATTTTTCAGTTTGGATTACAATGTTTTGGTTGATATACTTCGTATCGTTTGTTTAGTTACTGATGTATATTTTTTGCAACCAATAATCTTTTAGCAAGCAGTTGCTTTCATTGACTTCATATTTAGGTCTCATAGTTATACATTTATAAGTGTAGCTCAACAATGATCAATATAAGACATTTATACATCAATTATGGTTGAATTAGCCACTAGATCAGGAAAATTTTCGTAAGTTGAGGAAAGCTCTAAAGAACAATATGAATTCGCTTGTCTTTGTTCTTTAACATTTTTTCTACAGGATTTTGTCGACTATTTTCATGTAGGTACTTTTAAACTATGATTTGAAGATTGAAAAAATTATTCAGTGATTAAATATTAAAAGATTAAGAAATGTAAACTGTGTTCATTTTTGCTAATTCGGTAATAACAGCTTGATCTAACACTTGAGCAATCTACTTTCCAAACTGTACAAATATTATGAGACATTTTCCTATCCTAGATCAGTCTTACCTAATTACCTATATATGCTGACCACATAAGTTAATCACTCTCTTTTATAAAAGTCTACAACATCATGAAGTTTAGTACTGAAAAATTCGGGTATATAACATTACAACTGTTGGTACATTTTTGTGATGCTTATTTGAAATGATAACCGTTCTGTATAATGTTTTGCACCTCATGTTTACATGTGGCCATGGCCTTTTCTTATCTTTAAATGCTGGGTCACTATTGTAGAGTACGTTTTGGACAAATCTAGGAACTTCTACTTCTTAAAATACATACATTAACATTGCTTGTAATTTTCCTCAACTGGAAATGAGAGCCCAGGACAAATCTGGATGGAGAATCCTTGTCAGCGGTCAGTGCTTCGTCATGGGTAAGAGGAATAAGTAAGTTTTTGAAGAAACAGAGAACGATCTGGTTGGAGTCCAAGTACCAAGTATCGTTGCTGAATATTAATACAATATGTTCACTTTTAAAAACTTAAAAATTAACGAACTGGATGGATATTAAATAAAAATTTGTTGCAATTTAAAATAATAATTAATTCTTGCCCGTTCAAAAATGTGTAATATCGAATAAAGAATGTTCCCTTATTATCGTATTATTACTAGTATTTAGCCACCACTTATAATGTCATCAGCTTGAGAACTTTTTATTAACCACTATATTTTCACCACTTCATTAACCCTCCTTAAATACAAATAATATTAAGTCGTGATGTATTTAAATTTCCGGGAATTTAATCATTAATTATAACACCAGTTATTAGTGTTATGTCATATTTAAGCATCTGTGGTGTTTGAATGGACTAGTGACTTATTGTTGTTGTTGAATGCTTGATTTCGAATTCTAAATACAGTACATTCGTTCGTGCTTATCCCGTAGTTCTTGATTCACATACTTCTAATCATCATAGCATCTCATTATAAAATAGGATTATTATACATAGTTTATCTGGAATAAAATGGTTACTATTTGGAAGTACTTTGGTTATTTGGTAAAAATGTCTGTTAGATATGTAGTGAATACACTTTCATGAAGAGAACGCAATTGGTTTCATGGAAACATTCATTATTATAACCAACTGTACCAGTGATTGTTTAACTGTACGTTTTGTCTATTACACTCTGTATGCACAAACTTTCTGTTTGTGTTGCTGCCATTTTGGCGCTACTGTCTCTGTAATTTCGCCTCACTTTTCCGGTCGGATTTCGGCATTCTTTCGATACCACGAAATCGCCAGCAATTATATTCACTTATATGGATTATTTTATCTTCTCTGTAACGGTCATGTAATTGTTTTGATGATGGTGACCATAGTCAATTTTGACACAATGTGCCACTAAAGATGTATAAATTTTAATCTGACTTCGTTAAAATTCTGGGAAGAACCAAAATAAATTCAAAAGAGGTTATCCGTGGAGTTCTGTCAAAAACTTGTAGTGATTTCAATTTTAAGAAGAAAAACACGATTACCTAAATGGCTACATTCATTATTGAAACCAACTGTACCAGTGAACGTTTCACGGAACATTTTGTCTATTCATACTTTTGTAACGCGCTTATTAACGCAATCGCTATCTTATTTTTGCTGTGCTATTTCTTCCCCAATCCTCTGGCACGTTTCAGTATTCTTTCTATACCACGAAATCTACAGGAAACACATTTATTTCATCTTGTTAATCCTGTCTTCGTCTTTCCTATAAAAGGTTTGGGATAACACAAGGGGCCCGAACTTAACTGATTTATAGACGTGTTCATATTCCTTCGACTTGGACATCTACAAACTCATTATGCCGGTTTTCTTATTGAGTCTGCAGGTCCCCATTCATGGGACTAAATGTCAGAGAATCGTTCACTAAGTCATTGTGCCGTAATAACTACCTCTTGCTTAGTAGATATTCTTGAATGGTTCTCGTTCTAAATTTCCACGACTGAACTAATCATCCATCGTTATCACTGTTATTACTGGTTGTAACCGAGAACTTTACGACCAAACCCAAAGCATTTGAGTTTTTATTACCTTAATGGGCTGCGCGATTTCAGAAAGACCATATGTTGTCTCAAGATCACCAGGTCGGTGAGAAGTGGAAACATGGGAATCTTATCGCAAATAAATTATTCACCTAACTAAAATCACCACCCATAAACTTCTGCCAATATTTGTATGACTATTGTTTGGTTTGACGTTAAAAATTCCTACTGCCTGTTAATCTGCTGGACTTTTCACAACTCTTTGTCCAAGCTTCCATGAACGAGCACTGTCAATCATTCCGGTCGAAGATAAATATAAAACTACTTTATTAAAACGATCAAGCATATATGTACTCTATCTTCCAACATAGTTACACTCGTTAAATAAGACAACTGAAACTTAAAATAAATTCAGGGTCACTGAAATATTACTGGGTATTGGACAAACCACTCAGCAAGTAGGTCACTGAATGTCCATCAGTTTACCAATCTTTGTCAAATTCAAGGGCAACAAGTACAGAATAATCGGTAGTACATCATGGACTGGTCAATGTGGTAGTAGTCACACTCTGTCCCATCAACCTACTTTGACTGAAATATCTCTTCATTAACGTCACATTTGTTCTATGCCGTCACCAAAGTAGCCACAACATATGGGCACGATGAAACGGTAATTTACGTTAGGCATTAAAATCAAGGTGCAACTGCGATGTAAACTAGGAGGCACACCATTTCCGTCCAACTCCAGCAGACTCCCATCATCAAAAAACATCAGCTAGATGTAATAGTAGCTCATTTAGGCTCATGGTTGTTCTAATGTTTAGTTATTAAAACTTACATTATGACGGGAAGCGTAGTCATATGGCTCATGGTAAGGTTTTATAGGATGTTTAATGTATCTTTAGACTTCAGATTGGTTATTAATTAACAAAGAAATACTGCTTCATGTTCGTAATCTGTCAGAACTGTAAAAGTTACCATAATTGTTCAAACTGAGAGTGGAGTTTTTGTCAAAGATGGTTCTAGTTGAAGGAACCGATGACAAACTAGGAGGAACTGAGAGGTTGCGGTTATAGTCGTTTGGGACTCTTTGAATGCAGGCATCTATCCACTATCTCGCTGGAAGTAACATAAAGCTGGTGATACTTGACAGCTACTTCATAAGCATATATTATATTGTAAATAACAGCATATGCTTGTAGCATTAATACACTTTGATGAATGTGACTGCTCGTATTTTTTTCGGCAAACACAGAAAACCTCTATAGAAACAGAGTTCCATAGTTTTCAATGGTGCTAAAAATGAGATCACACTGCGGCGACTACTACTTTTAAACTAAATTAATCTCTAAAGTCCAACCTATCAACACCACAATCATGTCTGCCAGTTAATGACTTCCAGACGAATAAACTTAAATAGTATTATGATGCGAAACAACAGTGCTAACATTAAATTTGGGTTTTCCATTCCATATCGTGTTGTTTTGTTGACATTCAATAACCAATATCTTTTTCGAGGGCTAGTGTAGACCAACTGATTTCTTTGCGCTCCATTCTTGTTTTTTCGGTAAGGTCCTGTTACTTCCTGGCTGCTTTACTCGTAAAGATTTTTCAAAGGAACACAACATTTGATTACTATCATTATTATCGCCACCATTATTTTGTTACGTTACAACTAATTTCCAATTATTATAGGTTATATTTTTTACCTACTCCGATTGCAGCCACTCCTTCTACTCGGTTACATTGTAATCTTCCTAAAATGCTCTGGTGTTTTATATTAAACATGAATATGTAGCACGAATATTACGATTACTCTCCATTAGGGAACTGAACATATCTTTCATAAAATTACCGCTGTATAGCAATCAATCAATTAGTACATGACTGTGTGTTTTAACTCCGGCTAGAGCCCCTCTGAGGCTAGAAGCGGTCCCAAACCCGTAAAAAAGAGGAGGGTTGGACACAGGGTTGGCGACAGCATCCCTCAAAAAACTAACCAGCTAAAAAACGCTAACAAGGAAAATCAGTTCAGACCATTTTGACTCTGCTCTGGAATTTATAAGGTCTTCTTTCAGAGGAGTTATGACGTCTCATGATGAAAGCCAAGTTCCTTCGGAAGTCACGAGGCAGATACTCCTTCTCACAACCAGAGAAATCATTCTTGTAGGTACTCGGAATGGTCGTATAATGTGAAAGAACGGAAGACTATTTCAAGTTGCTGCTGAAATGAAAAGATTCAACCTGGAGGTGCTTGGAATCAGTGAAACGCAGTGGACGCAAGTTGGACAACTGAAGCTAGCTTAAGGATAGCTGATATTATAGCCCGGCCATGAAGAAGAAAACTCTCTACATTCAGTGAGGGTC